AGTAGCTTCAGCTTGGGTCCAGTTCATTGGTTAAATTCATGTTTTTTTCAGTGACTGCCATAACCTTAAGGGCTGAGAGATGTGTAAGCAGGAAAACAAAACAAAACAAAACACTTCACAGCATAATGAAAAGACAGCTTTTTCATAAACAGGCACGTGCATATGTACTTATACCTCCCTACTACTGTGTTGTATCAGGGTCTTGCTGTCTCTGGGCAAAGAGGTTGGAGAAAAGCACAATTTGTTTTTTAAATTTCCAGCTACAAAAGAAAATTATGCTCTTCTCTTACAGAAAGTCTCATCGGGGACAGTATTATGAAAATAAGCTTAGTGTTACACTGGTTAGGCATGTAAACAAAGTCTGTATTCATAAACAATTCATTTTTCCTGTCAAATCAGAAAATCATTATTACATTGTGCCATCCTGCAGAAGGTTCTTGTCCCGAAACACACTGAAAGCAGCAGTTTGGTGCAGTGGCTGTAGTCACACTCTGTGATTCCGTAGTTAAATTCATCCTACCCTAACCTCATTTTTCAGGAAATTAGAGCCAGATCAAATGGACTCTTTAAAACAAAGTTATTTTTAAATTGATTTGATGGCTTCCTACTTACAGTGATAGGCTTGGTAAAACAGCAGAACAGGAGAACTGATTAAATTTACTGATGATTTGGAGTCCAATTCCACACTATTTATATCCCCGGGTAAGCTCTCTGTTGTTAGCTTCTGAATACATAACAGCAGCCATGCTAATATGTACATAGCTAAGTCCTTTTGAGAGTGCAGCTCCTCATCAGGTGATCTTCAGGTGACAATGTAAAATACCATCATTCAGTTACATTTTATATAACAAAATAGAGTTCCAAGCTTATCTAAGAATCGCTCCTTTTATTTTAAGGTTGTGCATTAGAGGAGCTTATTTAAGAGAACATAACACCATTTTGACTTTTGTATTTTCTAACATTGCTGTAGAGCTCTTGCTTTGGAGCACAGAATGAGAAAAAGGGAAGACTGTGAAATATACATATGAGAAACAGTTACGTAAAACGGTTTCCAGTAGCAGTGCTGCAATATTCGCAGAGATAAAATCAATGTATTTAATCATGTAAGTAATTCAGAAGTACACCACTCAAGTCTTGCAGAGGAGGAAGTTCAATCGTTATTTTCTAAATTGTACCAAAACTTGCTACAGACTTGGAGAGAGAGGAAGCAGGAGCATTCTCGGTGTATTTCTGTAGTTTACGAAGCAGCTTACATCCGTTCAAAATGTGAGACAAACTTTGATATCATTCTCCACGTGAGGCATTTACTGTACTTCATCACTCATGTGTGAAGTCGTTTCACAAGCATGTAAGCAAATATGCATTTGCCACATTTAGCACATTTTCTCTCTTTGTCCTCTGACAAAATTATTTCCAAGCCCTCTCTTATCTTAATGCAAATTCTGTCTTTGAAGCTTGTTAGCTGTCAGGTGCAAGCATTCTGCTCACTGGTCACATCTTAACATAGAATAAACTCTTTTAGATGCTTTCTGTTTCTCTAAACATCTGTGAAAATACTGCTGTGAACACTGAGGTAGAGGAATTAGTAGCATTTTTTAGATCAGTATCAAAGATACTCATTCTGCCCCAGGTTTAGTAGTCATTAAAAGGACAAGAGACCTAGAGACAAGTCTGCTCAGAGCTTCTGTTACTTCTGTCAGCAGTGGAGCTGAACCGACACAGAAGCTATTGGAAATCATAAGGCAAAGACATCAAAGTGAATGGTGCTATGTAAGTCAAAAAACAGCACTGGTTTTCACACCTGAGGTTAACATTTTAATATAATTAATAATCCTCAACATTAAAAATAATTTGCTGCAGTAAAGACTGAGGTATTTTTCAGTGGCACAACCACTTGGGAGGAATAATTGTGCAAGGCTAATAGAAATGATGTAATCAATCTGCAATCGTGGTTTCCTGTAAACTCATTTTTAATTTTACATTTGGTAAATACAGGCATTGTATCCAAAAAGCATGTGCCTCCTTCCGTAGACGTGACCGACAAGCCCTATGGGCAATGTTCTTCCAAAGCAAACATGACTCAATACCTTTGGGCTGGTAAGTCATACAAACTCCAAAGAACATTATTTGCTAATGCCTTAAAAGTGCATCTTAGAGAAAGTAGTAACTTATATTCTAGACTATGTGTCAGAGAAACATCATCAAAACTGGGTTTAAAACATCTGTATGCTGTGTGATCCTTCTACATTCTTATATAGTACACATACAGTTACTCAAACTAGCTGATTACTCAAGCAAGATTGTTTTGTTAAAAATACAGCACATTTTGGGTGATTCTTTGAAATCCACAGTTTTATCGTATCAGCACATCTTTCAGCAATAAGCACTATGCTGATAGCTACTTGGTGACATAAAGCTTACGAAAGAAAAGCAAGCTAATGCAACTTGCAGAAGTCACACTGAAAGAAAACATTTTTCTTTTATTTCACAGTGACAGAATCACAGATGTGAGGAAACTCAAAATTGGCAGCATTAAGTGTATTTTGAGGTAGGCTGTGCAGAAGTTACCAGTTAATGTAACGCTCAAAAGCACACAATGTATTTTAGAGTACTTTTGCAGAGTCCTCAGATCCTAAGCTGACATTGCAGGTAGTTAGAGACCTCTTGGTAGGGATTCTCCTACCTGTAGTGTGCTAATTAACTAGGGATATAATTCAGTATTTTCCCATTTGTTTCACAATGTCAGTTTGTTTAAAATAGAACCCATACCATGCTGAGTAAAGAATGATATATTTGGCACCTGAAAGGCTGAAATGAGGCTGTATGAAACTGTTAAAAATATCAGAGGTTACTCAGGAAACTGAACAGTCAGAAGGGTACCAACTACTACATCCAAACTTGTGCTGCGTGTGGTGTGTATTAAGAGTGTGTACTTACCAGGAGCTGAACAAAGGATGTTATTCATGTGGCATTAGAGATAAACTAACTAGTTAATTAATTAAAGGCCCACAGTGACTGGACACTCAGTAGTTAATATATTCAGAAAGCGTATTTAAAATTCATTGTCAGAGTCTCTGACTGGCTGATCCACTTAAAAATTGGATAATTTATAAAACAGAGCATTAAGTGCTTGTTGACAGGCTGTATTCTGAAGAGCTCAGCAGGCTAGAATTACTGTTTCCTTGTGTCACAGGTTTCCTTATCCAGAAAAAGTACATTACTCAGCAATTAACTATGGACTATGTAAAGCTTCTGGAGTGCACAGATTAAATGATGTACCGAAGAAGAATGTGATCAAGTGATCAATGTTTCTAACTCAAAAAATGCAAAGTCCCCATTTTCCATTTCGTTTCTCTTTAAACTGGCTCACTCCAGAGCTAGTCAGCAACATCGGATGTGATAGCAAGAAGATCAACGAGCTGTTTCTTGTCCCATTTCTTAGGTTAGGCACTTTCAGAGCCTCATTTTTTTTCTTCTCCTTATGGGATTGATCTGAGCTGCTGAAGTCAGTGGATGCATATGCTGACTTGAATGAGAAATTACTCCTTTCTCCACTGAAATCTCTTGTGAGAAGAACTGCAAAACCTCTTTATCAAAACTCAATTTGGGTAAGAGATCATGGGTTGTCTCATAATACTGGAAGCTACCTATGGGCTTAAGTTTGATGTGAACTTCAGAAAACAGTTTTAGAGGTTGAAGTGCTGGAGAAGACTGTTAAGTGTAAAGGATTTTATACATGCATACAGCCACAGAGCAGTCTTTTCCATGCTGGAAATCCAGATTCTTATTGCTAATAGACCTTGAAAAAAGTTGTCAAATACAATCATGCCAGGCAGTAATTCTTCATGGTTGCAGAGCAGTTTGTTAGCTACATTAATCACTGTGATTCCTACAGCCTCTCCTGGGGATAAGAGCGCCAGAAAAGGAAAATAAACTACGTAAATGCCACAGGGAGAAAACAAGAGTTACAAGAGCATCATTCAGAACATGGAAAGATTTCTGTCTGTGCCTTGGAAAGTGCACAATGGCTTTCAATTGTCTGGAGAGAAGATCTGCAGGAAAATGCATACAGGTTTCCCTGATCTAACAGCTCGTGTGAAAACAAGCAATGTAACAGGCTGTGCATACTTTGCAGCTACGCTACTATAAGGCCCGTGAAATATGACTGAGAAGAATCACATATGGGATGAAATATAAAAAAGGCACTTCTTTTCTCCAGCCCTTTTTTTTGATGTTGGCTGACAAAATCCTTCTAGAGAAATAATCCAGACATGCTGCTTGAGAGCTGGGACAGATGTCAGGGGGAAATTCTTTACACAGAGGGCGGTGAGGAGCTGCCACAGCTGCCCACTGTGGTGCCCCCATCGCTGGAGCGCTGAAGGCCAGACTGGATGGGGCCCTGTGCAGCTGAGCTGCTGGGGGCAATCAGGCGACAGCAAGGGTTGAACTGGATGCGCTTTACGCTGACGGCGAAGCGATTTTAAACGCTGCTTCTCCTAAGCCGAGGCAAAGCTTCGCCTCTGAGTTACACAGCCAGCAACTCAGACGGGTTTTGTCCTCCGACAATATTATTTGCAAGTCCCTCTCTTATCTTAATGCAAATTCTGTCTTTGAAGCTTGTTAGCTGTCAGGAGCACGCATTCTGTTCACTGGTCACATCTCAACATTGAATGAACTCTTTTAGATGCTTCCTGTTTCTCTAAACATCTGCGAAAATACTGCTGTGAACACTGAGGTAGAGCAATTAGTGTCATTTTTTAGATCAGTATCGAAGTTACTCATTCTGCCCCAGGTTCAGCAGTAGTAATTAAAAGGACAAGAGACAGACGAGGTCTGTCGTAGGCTACAAGCGAACAGTCCCAGCACGGAGGCGCACGGCGCAGCGCGCGGACAGACCCCGCGTGCAGCAGGGCACGCCCCCACGGCTCTGCGCATGCGCGGTGAGTGGGGGCGCCTGGAAACGCCGCGGCACATGCGCGCCGCCCGCCCGCGAGCGTTACCTGCGAGCCGCTCGACGCCGCCGCTTTCTTTTTCTTGGCCGGACCGCTGCCGGTGCCCGGGCTTGCCGGGCGCTTCTTGCTACGGGAAGGAGCGCCGGCGGGAGATGAGGTCGCCGCGGGAATCAGGCTCGCCATTTTCCCCCCCGGGCCGAGCACGGGGCAAGAACTGGAGCGCGCGATCCCCTCCCCCTCGGTCGGCAGCGCCGCGCAGTCGCGGTGGGGCTGCTGGTGCCGGGCATGCGCAGTCGAGGCGCACCCTCACCTCAGGCCGGCGCTGTGAGGGGGACGGTTAGTGGGGGAGGGGCGGGAGGTCCCGGCTCCGTCGGCCGGTACCGTGGGGTGTGCGTGCCCCTGTGGTTCGGCGGCTGTGGGGGAGGCTCGCAGCCTCCTCGCCCGGGCCCTGCTGAGAGCACCTCCAGCCCCGGCGCTGCCTGCGGGCGGGGCTGTCTGTGAGCCTCCGTATGCCGGCAAGGTTGCAGGCAGTGGTTTGGGACGTGCAGTACGATAAAAGCAGTGCAAGGCCCGGGTGAATGGAGCTGTGGTGTTCTCAGACATGGTTTAGCAGAAGGCTGTTGGAGTTAGGGTAGCGTGGTCAGGTTGTGGTTGGACTTGATCTTGAAGGTCTTTTCCAACCTGAGCGATTCTGTGATTCTGGAGTGTAGGATACTGAGGAGCTGTGTGCGTAAGGTACAGTGCTGTCTGCATAAGCACTCTGTGTCTTAAGGCTTCCCCAAACGAGGCAAGGTTATGTAAAGCACCTTCAGACCAGGAAGAGGGTTACTGAGACTTGAAAGTACATGTTTTTTTTTCTAGTTGCATCAGTTGCCCTGACTTCTTCCCTTCAATTCTAAAATGATGAGCTCCAAGAAACCTTCTGATAAGCACTCTGTGTTATTGTCCACTGTATAATCTTTAAATGCAAGTTGCACGTTTTCCTCTTTATAACCACGGATAGTGAATGTCTCTGAGTAATTCATACCGCTAAAAATGCGGCTGCTCCCAAGCAGGCAGATGTGCAGCACAACACCCTGTTGTGATGTGGAGAGTGACTCAGTCCAGCGCTTCTTCCTCTCCTTTGGAATCTGGAGTGACTTTGCACTGGAGCAGTGTATCATGACAGATGTGTGGAGCTTACCAGTGCTCTGGGAGCCCTCTTATTTCCTATACCATTTCATACCCTGTCTCAGAGAACTGGTTGGTGGCAGTGGGTTGCAAACAGCTCTCTAGCTGCTTGACAGCTGATAAAGTGATTTTTAGCTTCTTTATGCGTGCACCTGCATTCAAGGTAGTGTTCAACTTACAACCTTTATTTACTTACTTAGCTATCTATACAACACCTGACCTTTAGGTTTGTAGTGGCAGCTGTGTGAGATCCTGACCCAGTGCATGCCCCCTGCAGAGCCAGAGGTCCAAGATGTTGACATTCAAGCATAAAAATTAGGTCACATTTATAGACGGTGCTGTAATGAGCATTGAGCTTGGTCACAGTAGGGGTGCCAGGCCACGCTGTGTAAAACAAAAGCTACAGAGGTGGCCTGAGAGAGTTGAGGACAAAAGCCTGGGCTTTCAGGCTGCTCTCCAGGCACCTGTGTATACAACAGGAAAGTAGGACAAGATTTGCTTTCCAGGAGCATAATCAAGGCTGTGTACAACCTCCAAGACTGATCTTATTCCCAGATGTAGTTTCTGTCTTTCTGTCTGAGGCTGTCAGCAGCATTGCAGAACAGACTGATAGACATCATTACATTTGTCTTTACTGTTAATGATTATTCTAGGCTGATGTGTGCTACATGGCTTGCATTTCTTCTTTCTTCAAATAACAGACCTTGTCAAGTGATGGTGATCTGAGTTTGAAATTAGTAGGGGCACTGGGAATTGCAGGGGAATTGTATCCCCTGACAAATCCAAATCTGCTCAGCTGTGTGCTTAGTGTTGGTCTTGTCCTAGCCTTTGTTTTTGATTCCCAGGGCTGGATCCCTTCTTTTTCCCATGCATGTACTGTGTACTCAGCCCCAAGGCACGTTCTTTTTAAAAGAAAGCATCATAGGAATGCTTTTACTGAGAGGAGCATCTTTAATGCTGCTGTAGAGTAGTTGTTGCATGTGAATCATGCAGAGAATTAATGTGCTGCATCAGTGGAAGTTTTTAAGTAGTATGCAGTCAAGCACTTTTATCTGTGCCCATTTTTATCAATCAATTTACTAACAACAAAATTAGAAGGCCCATGGGAATTGCAGCAGTACTGAGTGCAGTGCAATTTTACAAGGTACCAAAGGCTGTAAAATCCCAGCAGGCCCATAGCTCATTGGAAGATAATAATGGCAGTGTCATTATTGAGAATGTCCCCAGGGGATGAGTGGTGGAACAAGGATGCCAGCAGGGCTCTGACATGGTGAGGCTCCCTTCTGCCCAGGCCTTGAGTTCCTGCCCGCACACAGCCCTCTGGAAAATGAAGAGTTGCTGTTCTGTGATGACATGCAACGTGTAACTGGTGTTCCTGCCTCACACTTCAGTGGGTAGTTGCTTTGTCCTGCAGGTGAGGGCTCGCCTGCAGAAGTGCATATTGTGGTTGCTGGTTTAGCTGAGTGTGACGTGGCTCTTCTGCTGCTTAATTTGAGCCTGGCTCAAGGTGAGCACCATCTCCTGCACTCATACTGCAAGGTCTGTTTTATTGTTGTTGTTTGCTGTCTTGCTAATAAGAAAATCAAATCTATCTCAGAAATAACCCTGCATGTGAGCAGTTCCACCTGCCTATTTGTAATAACTTAAGTGAAGTGGAAAGTTTTCTTGTACTTTTCTCAATTATAAGTAAGAAAAAAAGACTTTAGAGCCCTAGGAATTAGGGAAGACACCCTCAGGCTTTGGGAATCAGGTTTTTTTCTTTGGAAGTTTTTATCCTGTATATTCCTCCGCCATCCCCTTTCCCCACACACTTCTCTGCCCTTTGACTTGATGAAAATTGACTGCAGACAGCTTTCTCATCATGGCAAGGGGATAACCTCTGGTATTATTGTGGCACATGAAGGGTGGTGATGCCTCAGGATTGGACAAATTAAAAATTTCTTCTTAATGGGAAGAAGAAAGCATTGAGAGCAAAAGCTTTAAGAAAAACTGCAGGATGATCTTTAGTGTGAGCTGGGGCAGCCCAGAAGTAGAGCGGAGAGCATGGATGTTGTGGTGTAACTGCACTGGAATAGGCTCCCCAGGGAGGTGCTTGAGTCACCATCCCTGGATGTGTTTAAAAACTATTTGGATGTGGTGCTCAGGGACATGATTTAATGGAGGGTTGTTAGAGTTACGGTAGTATGGTCAGGTTGTGGTTGGACTCGATCTTTAAGGTCTTTTCCAACCTGAGAATGTTATGATTCTGTGTAATGTCCTCAGATGGCCATGTTCAGGTTGCACAGGAGCAAATGCCTTTGAAGCCTTTGAATTAAACACGTTGGTTCTCTTCTGCTTAACCAAAAGAAGATGGCCACTTTCTGCAACTGCTGATTTATTCTATTCCAAGCTTTAAAATTAGGTGTCTTTCAGTAATTAATTTATATCCCACTTGATTGTTTGGCTTGTGATGTTCCTACTAGTCTTACTTCTGTACTGCTAGAAAAACGAATGGTTTAAAAGGAAATCATCTGCAGCTTCACTGGTTGAGCCTTCTACATTACATTCTATTATTTTGTAACCTGCCTTTCAATTTGTAAAATTACTAGGTATCCAAAATGGTGATAGAGTGTACATAATGCCTCTGTACACTATTGAATTAAAATGAAGGTTTTAAAAATTCTTATATAACCTCCTTCTGCATGTGATTTTGTATCAACAGAATAGGGATAACTTTTCGCTAGATGAGAGGTATTATTTAAAGTTGAATTCACCGTACAAGTTGTGGCAGCTGAGAAATATCAGGTGATTATAGTTTTGTTTTTTTTTCTTATCATCAATGTCTCCTGGCAACAGCATCACAAAACTTTTCTGTTAATTTATCCATCTTCAGTGGCATGGCATAGATGCAATTTGTGATATAACTTGTAACTTTCATTTAAATTTTTAAAGATATCTATTTTTTTCCTTTAACGGCATATATGTGTACTGGGTGCTTATTTGCATTTTCATAGAGGCTCTGGAAAAAGAAAGGATTGAAGTTCTTAGCTTTATTGCTCTATCAGGTAAAAAGCGATGGATTCCTGCAGGGTGGCTTGTGAGGTCTTGTGGCATTTTATATGTTATTCTTTAAAAGTACTTGGAGGCTTTGATGACTTTTCAGAGCTTGCAGTGTGAACTCTTGCGATTTGCATTTGTTCCCTGCAATTTGCAGCTGCAGGGACTGCACTAGCTTTGTTTAAATATAATGCCAAATGCCTTTAAAATAGGCATTTGAACCTTGGATTAAGGACTCTGCTTTTGTAATATTAAAGGCCTTTTTCAGCACACATCAAATATCTAACATTCAGTGTAATCTTCCTGTTAGAAGCTTTTTGAAAGCCATTTCTATATTTGTAGTAACACAAAAAGAGAAACAGGTTCTTTAGAAATGCCTTTTGTGCCATTCTTCCAGGTACCCCATCCTTTCCAAGATTACTTTTAAATCAGATAGATTTGACGCATCAGAAATGAGCAGTAAGAGAAGACATTCAAAATGCCTTTCTGCATAGATTTTACTTGTACTTTATTTGAATTTTTTTTTTTTGCTACTAACTTAGTAAAGTTATTCTGGCAGCACCTTTGCCATTTACCAGTGAATTTGCATGAAGGGTGGAATTCTTACCAAGAATTTTACGTGTGCCAGCTCTGGCAAGCTTAACTGAAATACTGTGTAGGCAAGGTACTTCTAACCCAAGAGATTACGTTAAATGGAGATTTCACAATGGTAGAGTAGAAGTCAACAATGGAAAAAAAAAATGATGATGTAGTGTTTGGTTTGAAATACAGTTCTATTTGTCTAGACTGTGCAGTAAGGAAGCCTGCCACTGTGTAGTTACTGGAACCCTGTATCCTGTACGTGCCAGGTAATTATTTATTATGTGATATTTAGCAAGTCTTCAGTCTGCCTCAGAGAATTTATGAATTGTTTCATCAGGTTGGATTAAATCTCATCTTTCTGAAAGTAAAAATTGGTTAGGAACTTTCTTATTTAGTTTGCATTCAGAAAACATAGTGAGCGTTGTCTGTAGTTAACGCACGTGAACAAGTTCCTGATTTCTGAAATACTCGGCTGAGAAAGATTTGCATTATCTTTAAATTGGGGGCTTAAAAATGCTGCAGGTTTATAAACTAAAAAAATGTGGATTAATTAAGTAATCTGATTTGTGAACATAAGATCTTGATGGGGTGGCAAATAGTTTGCAAGCAAGCTGGAGACTGAGTAGGGTCATAGAACTAATTTATTAATATTCCTAAATAAAGGATAAATTTACAGCAATATGAGTGTCCTCTGGTATTTGTTAACAGAACAGGAGTTGAAGTTGCTGCATAAGCTACTCACAGGAATTAGCTCACACATCTCTGCTTTGTTAGAGCAAGCCTTCTCGTGTTCCCCTACTTCTACTTATTGAGTAGTGTTGCATTTGCTTATATACCGACGTGGTTGCTAGCATTTATATTTAAGTAAATTAATATTTCTGACAGTATCTCTAAATGTTAGTGAGGAATCTGTGAATGTTTTTTGCTTGTTCACTTACTATTATTTCTGCAATACAAAAAAAAAAAAAAAGACCACACAAAAAACCAACAACTGAAAGCTGTTATACGCTTGATAACATCTTGTTTTGGAGCTTATTTGCTAGACTCGCTTTCAGCTTTTTTTTTTTTTTCCAAATGCAAACTAAGAATTCAGGTGCTAGATAAGCTACTCTCTGATGTGTGCAGAACTGGTGAAATTGGTCTCAACCAAGGTCTGAGAGTGTCTGCTGAGTGCTGCTGTGCAAACCAGATGATAGGATAGAAAAATAACAAACAAACAAAAAATCTCCAAATCTTTTAATTTGCAGATGATACCACGCCTAGAGAAGCTAGAGCATAGGATTAGAATTTATAGAAAATTTAGTTTGGTTGATTTTGAGAAACATAAATTCTTACTTTATTTTTGCAGTCAGTGGCTTAAGAATCTAATCTGTTGATCCTGGGAAATCTGTAGGGTCTGTGTGGGAGGTTAGCAAGAGAAGCATGCTTTCACTGCTTGGCATCAGCATGACTTTTGTGATATGCCTTTTGGGGAAAAAAAAATTAAAATGTTCTACAAGACAAAAAAAAAAAACAACCAGCATTGGAACAATATTAATCATGGGCTGGGGGTTAAAATGAGTAGATAAGAGTTGCAGTAGAAGGCATCAGAAAGCCTGAGTGAACTTAGCCTGAGTTGAATATGAATCACCAGTACTGCAGTGCCTGGAGACATGCACGTGGCACCAACAGGAAGCCTGCAAGGCACATGCTGTAATCCTTTCACTTGTCAAAGCTTTGGTTAGGCTCAATCTGAATGTTGTGTCTAGCTTTGGGCGTTACACAACTGGACTCTCTCCAAACCTTTCATATCTTTCTTGAAGGAAGAAGAGCTGAGGTCTGGGAAGTTTGATCTGTGAGCAGTGATTGAGAATTTTGGATGTGTGTGTGGCATAAGGAGGAGATGGACACTGAAGATTTCTAAAGAAAAACAAGGAGTGAACTGTTCTCTATGCCCATTGTAGATGATCTGAACTTACTAAGCTGTAGGCTATTCTTTATAAACTAGCTGCACTCTATGTGTAATTTTTATAGTAATGACCCCACTAGAAGAATCTGTTCTGATACTTTCTGTGATTAGTAGTTAAGTTGATAGGGGAATGCTGTTACTTATTTATTCATTTTCCTTCAATAAGTGATTGACTGCACTTGAGAAAGCTTGGATTTTTCTTCTAGGTTTCGGTAGGTAAAATCAAATAAAATATTTCTGTTGAAGGGAACCTTCAAAGATCATCTAGTTCACTGCCTGACCAGGACTAACCAAAAGCGAAAGTATATTAATGTGGGTGTTGTTCAAATGTCTCTTGAGCGTGGGGACACCAGCTAGATCTCCAGGAAGCCTGCTCCGGTGTTTGACCACCCTCATGGTAAATAAACTTTTCCTGATGCCCAGCCTGACTCTGCCCTGGCAGCTTTGTGCCATTCCTGTCCTGCCATCAGTGATCAGGTCACAGCCCAGCACCTCATCCTGCTTCCATTCAGAGAGCTACAGAGAATAACGAGGCATCTCAGCCTCCTCTCCAGACTGGGCAGCCTGAGTGACCTCAGCCTCTCCTCATAGGACTTGCTTTCCATCCCTGTTACCAATGTTATTGTCCTCTTCTGTATGCTTTAAAGGACATCAGTAACCCTTTCGAATTGTGGAACTCGGAACTGCATGCAGTAATCCAGGTAGGCTATGCAATTCTAAATACAGTGGAAAAATCACCTATTTGACCAGCTGGCTATGCTGTGTTTAATGCATCCCGAAATGTGGTTTGTTCTCTTCCCTGGCAGGGAAGCTCCCTGCTAGCTCATGTTCAGCCTGCTGTCACCAGCACCCACCCTTTTCTTTTTGAGTTGTTTTGGCTGTTTTCCTTTGTTGAACTTCGTGCCAGTGCTAATTGCCTAGTGCTCCAATCTATCCAGATCACTCTGCAAGGCCTCTCATCTCTCCAGAGAGTCATCAGCACCTCTCAGTTTAATATCAAAAGCAAACTTGTCAAGGATGCAGTCCAAGCCTGCACCAACATGCTGATAAAAATGTATAGCAGAACTGGACCTAAAAATGAACCCTAGGGAACACGGCTTGTGACTTGGCCAGCAGCCAGCTGCAGCCCCATTCACTACAGCCCTTTGAGCTCTGCTGTTGAGCTATTTCATCACCCAGCATAGTGGCAACTGTTTGTCTAGTAGTTGGATAATTAGCCCACACGAACTGAGACATATTCCTAGATAAGGTTAGGTCTGAGGATGTAAAAAGCACTGCAAGGAGGAGAAGGTCCAAGGAGAACTCTCTCTCCATGTCTGCATAATGAAGAAATAAGGGGATTGACTTTGCAGCATTCAGGTTGTGTTACAAAAAGGTGTTTTTTTTGTTTTGTTTTTTTTTGTTTTTTTGTTTTTTTTAAGAGAAGGCCAATTTTGCAGTAGAATAGCTTGCTTTTGAACATTTTGAAAAAAAGATGAGACATCTGCCACAGAAGATCAAGTACAAGCAATTCTGCCAAGAGACAGGAGAGCTGATTAGATGACCTCTCAAGAATTTTTCTGGTTCTGGTTT